CTATTGATGGGAACTTAGGTTGCTTCTGTTTCTTGACTATTGTAAATAGTGCTGCAGTGAACATAGAGGTGCATATATCTTTTTGAATTAATGTTTTGGACGTCTTCAGATAAAGACCCGGAAGTGGAATTGCTGGGTCATAAGATAGTTCTGTTTCTCACCTTTGAAGAACCTCCATGCTGTTTTCCATAGAGGCTGCACCAATTTGCGATCCCACCAACGGTGCACAAGGGTGCCCTTTTCTCCACATCCTCGCCAACACTCATTTGTTGATTTATTGATGATGGCCATTCTGACAGGTGTCAGGTGATATCTCATCGTGGTTTTAATTTGCATTTCTCTAATGATTAGTGACATTGGGCATCTTTTCATACGTCTGTTGGCCATCTGTATGTCCTCTTTGGAGAAACATCTATACAGGTCCTCTGCCCATTTTTTAACTGGATTGTTTGTGTGTGTGTGTGTTAAGTTGTATGAGTTCTTTATAAATTTTAGATATTAACCCCTTATCAGATGTATCAGTTTGTAGCTTCCTTTATACATTTGGAATTAAGGAGATAATTTAAGTAAGATTACATGAAGATGGGAGAAAGCAAGGTAGAGATTAGATTATAAGATTATGTGCTTTCTTAAGGGTGGCTAGGCCTTCAAAAGGAATTACTTCTGGCATTTCAAAGGTGTGTTAACTTAGATGCACAAGAACAAAGGACAGGGCTGGCTTAACTCCTTTCACTAACAAAGTAATAGGCCAAGGGTGTGACTACCCACCACGACCTGCCTAGTCAGGAATTTATGGTTTATTATAGCACCCCTTTTTCATCCACAAAACTTTGAAAAGATACAGGTTTATTACTTACAAGCCTTGGCAGTTACAGAGCACACCTGGGCCACGCTGATGGGGAGAGCAGGAACACATGGACCTGAGATTCTGCTTTTATTGGGGTTGAGGGCGGAGGCCTAGGGTTTGGCAGCCTCTCTATTGGTGAATTTAAAACAGAAGAGCTGGAATTTAATACATGGGAAGAGGAAAAAAAAAATAGCCCAAATGGCCGGTTATTGAGATCAGCCAAGCTCTCTAACATAAAGGGGCCTCAGCGGCGCTGTTGCATAGGCTCTGAGAGCACATCTCCTTCCCCGACACTGGCTGCCCAGCCCCTGGCACATGGGGCAGGGGGCAAATTCGTGATCAAGTACAGGAATTCAGGCCCTTTTGGACTGAAAGCCAAGGCTGGCCTCCTGGGACTTGGGATAGAAAAATTCAGCAAGGAAACAATGAAGTGGCCACTTTTGTGTGCGCACAGGGCAGGCTCCCAGAACGCATGCTGGGTCTGCGTTTGGTGGTCTGGGAGAAGGTCAGGAAGTGGCCTCGAGGCCCTTGCACTTGATCCGAGGTTCTCCAGGAGCAGCCATCAGAAGCAAGCCACTGCCTTTGCTGGCAGAGGAACAGTTTCCATCGAGAAATGCCATCTCCGAAGGCCTGGCTGAGACGCCGCAGTGCTCCCTTGTCCTGCAGTAGGGCGGAGAGCTTGGGGGTTCTTCACCAGCAACCATTTCAATGGGAAGGCCTAAAACCTCTGTTCTCAAAGCCCAGCCCCCCAGCCTAGAAGGTGTCTTTGAGTGAATTTGCCTGACCTGGTGAGCGGGCAGTGGGGGATGGCAGCCTTGGCAAGCTCAGCGACGAGCTGGATTCCAGCCTCCCCTGCCCCCTGCCCTGTACACGCACTGCCCCCTCGTGTGCGGTGGCTGCCTCCTTTGGGCCTCTCTGTCCACTCGGCATGGCACACTTTCGTGAGGACACCCTCACTCACCACACCCTACAAAGAACGGTGAAGCATCTTGGGAAACAACACGTGTGGCTCAAAGTACAGTGAACCACAAGGAAAAGGGGAGGTTGTGCTTATGCTCGTACGTGTGCATCTGCAATATTTACATCCTCTAATGACAGTTTTTCCGACACGCTCTTCGAGTGGGAGCTGAGACTTCGAGTGGGAGTTTCTCTGTGTCCAACAACTTCTTGGGCCAAGTCCAGACAATGAAGCATGTAAAGACGGGCTCTGCCACCTCTATGACAGCCAGCAGGGCAAGTGGGGCGAAGGTGGGGAGGGCGGGAGAGAGGGGAGTAAGCTCGTCCTGCGGTGTCTGAATGTTCGTGCAGGAGCAAAGCTGCTCAGCCAGGCACCTAGCATGTATTACTCACTGGGATGTCCAAAGCACTGTCCTTAGCATCCCCTTGGGCTCTTACAGTGCAGACAGGGGGATACAGATTGGTACCTAATAGAACCGGGTGGATGCTACAGACAGTTTCTAGAAGAGAGGCTTGGGGGGAGGGTTGGTCATTAGCTTTCAAAACGTCCAGTCAGTCCCAGCTGACAGGGCTGCAGGGGGCAATGTGATCGCCAACCCCCAGTGGTGGGTATGTGTTTGGCCATAAGTGAAGCCCCCTCCACGGTGCCCCCACCCCGACACGACCACCATACAATTTCTTTCATTCTGTCATGCTCTCCGTGGTGCCCGTTCACGTGGGGGTCGCCCCCAGCCGACTTTGGAGTTCTCCAGGACGAACTTGAGTCTGGATCTCTGCCTGTCACTGAAATGGAGCCTGGCGCATGGCAGGCTCCCCGTCGCCATTGTGGAATTTCACACTGTGGTGGAGACTCTGTTCAGGGCAGCCCCCCGCGAGCGGGCCTGCCGAGGCAGGTGCAGATGTGACTCTAGTCAGAGCAGGACGAGATGAAGATGGGGTTGGGAGGATTGGAAACTTGGATAAGGATGTGCTTTGGCCTTCAGCCACAACCTCACCAGGTGTGTGAAATCTTCCCGGTGGAAATAGTGTCTCGGAATGAGAGCCCGAGGCTGGGGACCCTTGAGAATCCAGTACCACAAAGGAACGGCCGGCCTCGCGTCAGTAGGTCCCAAGGCTGTATCAGTCAGGTGAGGCTGCATCATGGTGCAGTGAGAAACAACCCCAATCTCAGTGGCTTGAACAACAAAGGTTTATTTCGTGCTCACACTTCATATCCACTGCGGGTCGGTGGAGGGGTGGGGGAAGGGCCTGCTCACCAGAGTCTCTTAGGGACCCAGACTGGCAGGGGATGGGGGCTCCACCTTGACGTGCCCTCCTATGAGGCCAAATGCACCTGGCTCTTAAACCTCCTTCCTGGAAGCGATCCTCGACACTTTGCTCACATTCCATTGGCCACAGCAAAAGGCACTGACTTGGGATCACATGTGACAAGGTGCCCAGAAGAGAAGAAAACGTATTTATTACTCCTAGGACGACTGCAGAGGGGAAACCGGCTGGCAGAGAGCAACCGGGAGCGAGGCGAGTTTATTCTAGCTGCCAGGTCTCCACCCGGACCGGGCGGCACGCAGCCAGGGGCAGAGTGGGCCTTTGGAGCTCTGGGCATCCCAGCAAGCTGTACCTTCCCAAAGCCATCTTGGCAGCCTGTGAAGTTCATTTAGAACACCCTGCAGCCTGGTCATTCTAACCTCATCCCAGCCGTCAGCA